ATTTTCGTTAAACATGAACCATAAGTCTTTGTAGCTCATGGTTCGGTCACCATGATTAGCCAAATCATGGTTCGACTCTATTTTCATTAAGCATGCACCATAAGTCTTTGTAGATTATAATTCGATATTATAAATCACCATGATCCGCCAAATCATGGTTCGACTATATCTTTATTATTAAACATAAACCATAAGTCTTTGTGGCTTATGGTCTGGGCCATAAACCACCATCTCCTGTCAAATCTCGGTCCGCCATTATTATTAGCTTTAACATTTATTGAAGTCACATAGATCAAAAAAAGAAGATAAATCGAATCAATACTCAATACAATTTGTAAAAAATTTCAAACAAGTACACCAAGATTTCAAGTCAACAAGAACAAATGAACATAAACACAAAATATTATATGATAGCATTTCAATTCAACCATACAAAAAATAAACTTCCAAACCATAAGCCAACAAGTACGAATAAACACAGACCCTAGCCAAATCAAACACTATTAACCACATCATCACGCTTGGAAAATGGATCCAAATCCGCCACTTTCTCCTTCAACACATTGATGTCTGACACCTTATCCCCTTCAAAAAGACTAGATAAGGAATACCTATAGGTAATCATATTAGAGAAGCGATCAAAAATACAACATTGTGCATCCGGATAAGAGGAAATGGCCTTCTTTCCATCCAGCACTTCGGCATACTTCTCTTTCATCTAAACACAGGCCTGATGTAGCCCTAACTGGATGGCTGTAGTCTGAAGGGCGGGATTAACATCCCCAAAGTCATCTAAGTTCATGAATGCCCAGATGAAATAAGATATACCTTCCTTCACAACCCATTGCAACTCAGAACCGCATTGCTATGACATCATTTGATGTTGAAACACTTTTTGTTCAACTTAGACATAAAGTTCATCCAAAGACACAATTCGAGCGTCTTTGTCAAAAACAAAAGCTTTAAGGACAGGTAGCTCGTGCTCAAGCAATTTGATACGAACATCTTTCCCCGAGCAAGCATTTTCCAGTTGGGAAACCTTCTCAGTATATTGGAGCTTTAAGGATTCAAATTGTTGGGATTTTTATTCAAACTCTTTACTCAGTTTCGAACGATGACCAATTGCACATCAGTCCTAAGCTGAAGGTCTTGGTTCAATTTCTTCAGTTTGTCTTGACAATGAAGACTCTCACTAAAATCATTCACCAAATCTTTGTTTCTCTCAGACAAGCCCAATACCTCCGCCCGCAGTTTCTTCGTATCTTCTTCCAATTGATCATGGTTGTTTCACATAACTTTCAAAGCTTGGAAGGCTTCTTCAAAATTAAGTTTTTGATTGGCAAGAATTTGTGCACGTGTCCGAGTGCAAATAGAAACTTTATTCAATTAGTGCATCCCCTCCATCAGACACGAGTGGGCCCTATCAAGGCTTTCCTCATTTGATACACTTGCAAGTTTAGGGCCTTTGGGAATAGGGGTCCTAGAAATGGTTCGTTGGAACTGGGGTAGCGAGGTTGTAAATGTGACAAGTGTAGGCATCAGAGCATCTTTCTCAGAAGAGGGTAACACTAAAATAAACAAAATACACATCAACATCAAGAAAGATACAAAATAAGGGAAAATAAAAAGATGTGTGGATGTAAACATACAAATTTGCTGAGAAGTATGAGAACAAGGATCTGATTGCGTAGGGACTAGGTTTGAAAACTCAAACCTTGAGTTAATGCTTAATATCAATGTCTGCTTCTGATTGATAGTTCCAGTCAAGTCTGGAAAGACCAGTCAAGACTGAATATGAGAATCAACAAAGTAGTTCAAGTATTAAAGATGAGACTATGAATATTATCAAAGTAAAGACAATAAATGAACACAAGGAATGTTTGAAAGAACGATTTGAGAGAAAGGTGCAAGTGAAGTAAATGTGAACATATCTATCTTTTGTGGAACAATCGGTCATTTGTTTTGTCATTGAATGCTCCTTAAATAGGAGAATAAGTTAGATCGTACTAACCAAAATCATACATGGGACCGGATAATAGAGTTACTCCTGACACTCTGATTATTTAAGTTGACAAAAGAGACTAAGTCCTATGATACGTTACATCAAACTAAATGAAAAAAGTAATTAATACATACGGATAAACTGATTCAGACATACATCATCTCGGAACATCAACTCTTGAACATATCCTTTATTCCGGACACCAATTTGACTTCGGACTACAAGCTGATTCCGGACCATGAACTGACTTCGGAACAAAGGATGACTCCGAAATATACAAAAGATAGAGATTGCTAGAGGTTCACTTTCAGGTTCCAACAAGAAGTACTTTGATAAACATCAGCAGTCAATTGCAGATGAGTATCATCCCCAAATAAGGGAGTGTAGTCGAAAATTTCCACGGAAGTAAGGTTCGAGCTTCCACGAACACCCAAACTAGTAGGAAGAGGATCCACAGTGATGGTTGTGGACTGAACATTGGATGCTTGGAAAAGTTCAAAGTCAACCCCAAAAAGATTTTGTTGAAAGGTAGCAACAACAACAAACAAAGTGAAAGGAGTTTGATATTTCAACAATGGATCGACAGACTCAGGAACAACTAGAATTTCCAAAGTAAAATGGAGAGGAGCATCAGAACCTGGGGCTTCAACGTCAGAAGAGGGAAGATTATCCTCGACATGTTTTAATTTAGGATCAGTAATTATTGGATACTCATGAAGAATAGTCACTGCAGATGGTTCCTAAGAAGGCTCAGATTGACAGACTCAGATGGAGGATGATTTCCAGACAACGATAGACCAGAATTTTTTGATTCACTACCACGAGTGTTTCTTTTGTGTTTAGGGGAAGATTTATCGATCACTTTCTTAGGGCGATTCATTACCCTTTCCAAGGAAATGATTTTCTCTGTCCCCGATTTCCTCTCAGAAGATTGAACTCTTAACGCATACCTGGTCGAGGAACATGGAGGTTTTCTAATATCATGCTTGGCCTTCACAATGTTCTTGGAAATGGAAGGAACGATAGGCACACTAGTATCCTGACCAGTAGGATTGATAGCAGAATCCATGCTAGATTCTAATTGGGAAGGAGAATTGGGAATAGTAACCTCCTCCGTGACGAGAGTACAACTTTCCAGACGTTTACGGTGCAATCTCTCCAATAAAGTGACTTCTCGGCCCGCTAGGGATTCCACCAGTTTCTTCCCCAATCTGTTCTAGTAGGAACTTATTCCTCCATGGTTAACATTGTCTCTTTAAGGATAGGTCCACTTGGCAAATTATCCAATAAACGATTTGAATGATTTGTTCTTCAAGGGATAAATTAGGAGAGGGACGGCAACCCTATCAGCAATCACACCAAACACCATAGGCCCAACAAAGGCGGATGCAACGAAAAAGAATAACTCTTCCTTCCAATACTATATAGAAGTAGGAAGGATGTCATAGATCTACACTAGACCATTGCGGTGAGAAAAAGATACCAAATCACCATTGGGCATAGGGACATATAAGTTGCGGAATATGGTGATAAAAGGCATGATATCCAAGTTAGAGCACAAAATAACAAAGCAAATGATTTTTCGAAAACCATTTGTAGTAATATGAGTGATATAAAGATGATAATAGTCCCAAAATCGTCTCCAAGAAGTCGAACGCCGACAATCGTAGACCGGATTTGAAGAAAGCCTGATACACCTCAACAAACCCTTCTGGAGCATCAATAATGGCAATCCCAGGCTCGGGCAAATGAGGATGAAATTCAGGGTCAATGTGGTACTTTTCATGATATCAGAAAGGCTCTTAGGGAAAGTTTGGACTTCATAGTGCGAATGCTCGAAATTTCTTTGCTATCCATAAGGAAGTAAAATGAAGAGGAAATAGTCAAAAACAATTTGAAGAAGAAAATTACCGGCGGTGAAGAAAAGTAACCAACCAGGGGGTATTTATAGGGGATCAAGCAAACCTATATTTATGAAATAGAAAAAGTGGCAGTTATACACTATAGTCTCTTTAAATGGAAAAGAACTGATGAGGCGATTATAGGTAATGATGAACACTAGAAGTCGCCGAACCGTCACGTCAAAGTTTAATTTAGATATTTATCCCTATCCGGTTACAACGGTTACATTACAAAGCTTTTTAAGTTTGAATCTTTACTTTTAACAGAAAAATAACAATCCAAACTGGGGGGACTTAATAGGGTATAGACTAGACTGAAGCTATGTGTATACCCTTACTACACCAAACCAGGTATATACCAAACCATGTATATACCAAATCACATGCATACCGAACTAAGCAATCATATCGAACCACAAAAAATAATGAACAATGTACAAAATAACGTCACAACAATATAGTACATGGTAACTAAAAAAAAACAACTTGTACAACGATATGTGACTGATGATGGATCATTTTACCAATGAGAAACAACTATTAGACGGCTATAAAGTACATAATAATGTACCTTCGGGTATATGGCCATTAAATGCGACAAGATGGCAAACCTGCTCGATACATGAAGAGGTCGCAACATCTAATCATCAACTATAAATAAATAACAAAAAACCACTTCAAAAGGTATGCAAAACACATACACTATTCTATTCTACTCCGCTCGATTTTCGACATACTTTATTAAGGTCTTTTGTGACTTTATAATTAGATCGTTGGTCCGGGATCCCCTCCGGACAATCAGCTTACGAGTTGTTTGTTGTCTCCAGGTTAATCGAACTGTGAAGGAATCGATCACTCTCACAAACGATGGAAGGCGAACCCGAGGGCACATCAATATATGTTATTATTAATATATGAACATGATTTTTTTATCATATAATACACTCAATATATTTTTATTTTTTAAGATATCAAGTTAATAAGTATAAAATTAAAAATTACAAACTATACATAAAAAAATAAATTGGAGTTTTTAAATAAACTATGAATTTATTGTATTAAGCTGTGAATTTTTTGTATTAAACCATGAATTGACTATTTTAAGTTGTGAATTTTGTGTATTAAACTGTGAATTGAGGACAAGTTATGGAGGTCATTAACTTTGACAATTATCTTGTGGTTGGATGAGTACAAGCACTACCAAATCAGGAAAAAACATTTTAATGATCCAAAACAGTTTGTGGTAGTGTTCCCAATCCAATCCAGGCCAAGAAACCCGAAATTCTGCAAACAGAGCCTTCAACTTGTCGAGTGCATGAATTGACTCGTCTGTTACTGAGTGGACTCGTCGAGTTAGTTCATAAACTCGACGAGTTCACCAGTCAAAGGCCAGAAAATCGACTTTTTCAGCTTTGAAAAATTTGCAAGCATCAAATATAATAGAAAATAATCCTAGGCTCTGATACCACTGTTGGGTTTTGAGCACTATAACACTCCTATGGTGCACATGCAACCCTAAATGCTTTGGATCTATGTTTTCTCTAATTATACATGCATATTTTCAATTTTCCAAAGCACATATCCTAACTAGCATACAAATTATCAAATGAACAATACAACTAGTTAGATAACTTACCTCTTAGAAGGACTTGTAGTTCTTGACCTTTGAAAGCTTGAGTACCTCAAGTGTGATGCCTTTAATGGTTCACAAACAATAATATGCAAGAGGAGGCTTGAGAGAATAAGTTATTTGCACAAAATCAATATCACTCTTCAAGAATGTTGTGGTAACCGATTTTGGTCACGAGGGTGTGCTTTTATAGTGTAGCAAATGCTAGGGTTACACTTTGTAAACCCTAATGAGCTTTCATATTACTTAGGATCCATGGGTTAACCTCCATGGACTATCCATGGATTATCTCATTGGTTTAGCCCTTCCTAAATAACCATGGATCATTAGCCCACACTATTAGAATCATTGATTTACACAATCAATCCCCATATATTTAATTAGTCTCTTTGATCAAAATTATTCCAAATTAATTCTTGATCACTACTAATTAAATAATATGATTTCATATTAATATATTTATACTTGTAATCTATTAATAAATCATAAATAACCTTATTCTCAAAAGTCCATCCTATCAAATTGCACTTGTGAAGGCAACCCAAAAGGACCATGCTACAATCGGGTCAAAATCAGCCAAAATCCGAAAAAATCCCGAAACATCCTCTGTTTGACCCCTGGACTCACCGAGTCAGGCTGACTCGCCGAGTTCATCCACTGACTCCCGAGTCAGTCATGTAGAGGACAAAAAATTCGATTTTCATGCCAAGAATGATCATACAAGCATCAAATAAATCAATCAAACAGCCTAGGCTCTGATATCACTGATGGGTTATGAGCATCACAACAATCCTATGGTGTACATGCAAAACCCTAAAGCTTTTGGATCTAGTTTGTCTATGAACATGCAATAATCATACCAAAGCTTAAACCCTAGATCTAGCATACAATAATCGAATTAACATATGAATTAGGGTTTAGATCTTACCTTTCATGGTTACAAGAGTTCTTTGATCTTCAAGAAGCTTAGTGTCACAAGTGTCACACCTCTAATGGCTCACAAAACACAAGAGCAAGAGAATGACTTATGAGAGGGAGGAGGAGCACCAAAAACGATAAGATCCCTTAGGGATTACTTCATACATTTTTGGGGCCTTAGGGGGTTCCTTATATAGTGAGGCTATTAGGGTTCTGAACTAGGAAAACCCTAATCTGACTGCTTAGGCCCTAAGCACCCATGGACTCCCTCCTAGAAGCCTTGGATGAATTCTAATGGGTTTCCCATAGATTTCGTCCACTCCAACTTCTATGGAGTCCATTAGCCCAATATTCAACTATCGAACAATTGACATTTCTAGTCCTCTTTATTTAATTAATGTCTTTTAGCCACAAAATTAATTCTTGACTAATATTAATTAAACAATATGATTTCTACTTTAATATATTATTCATATAATATATTAATAAATCATAATAACCTCTCTATCTCTCTCTCTCCATAAATCATCCTATCAAGTTCCTTTGGTGAAGGCAACCCAAAAGGACCATGCACAAACCGGGTCAAGTACATACCAAATATAATATGGGCTTAGACACCTAATCCAACAGTCTCCCACTTGGATAAGTCTAGTAACTTAAATGCAATTACAATCCGATTAGCAATCGTAGCTTTAAGCCGCTGTCGAACTCTGATCTTTTCAGCAACCGTCCTTTAGATAAGGGATCATATATTCCTCCATTCTAGATATCATATGAACTGAGACATGGATTTTAATCATACTCTATGTTCATGTGTTGTTTCCCGATTTCCGATTTATGACGACTGACAACAGACTACAATTAAACACATCAACTTAGTCCCGACTTGGCCAAGCGCTTAGGGTGTCATCACTAAATCATCGAGGGGCCCACAGATATCGCTTTTATCCCACATTGGGTAAAAGGAACGGATAAACTTCGACTCAATGCTCGCTTGTACCTACTCATCAAATCACACACAACAATATGTTTTATAACACCAAGTTACTGGTGCGTTTACATATTATAAATGTGCAACCGACTTGTAAATCACAACTCACACATCTCGGTTTCAAGAATATAAGATATTATCGTCTCACCAATCACTCGTGATAAAATCCATGAAGCGATCTAAGTAAGCGTGGGTTTAATCCAATGCTCTAATCTTATAGGAGCACTCATGAACCCTGCAACAAACTTTTGCTATGTCTAAAACACTTTAGACAATCTATAGTCAGATTCATGACAATCTTCTTTCATACCTACTTCCAAAGTATGATCGACTGTGGATGGTTTGAATAATCTTATTATTCGGGAAGTGAAAACATGCAAAGCGAAACACAATAATAATTGAATCCAATATGGCCCCAAACTTTTGAGTATAAATAAAAAAACTCTTTTATTTAGTCACCATATTGATTACACATTATTCATTGTATAATGTTTCGGATAATCAACTTATTACTTGAATTATAACAGCAGTTGTCCCATGCACCAAGCATGCACACTCTGTTTACCTATGGTCCATACTTTATGAAATAGATCAATTGAAACAATTTCCAATTATGCTCATTTCTCAAT